CTCAGCCTGATCCCCCTCCATGACAGCCTGGTGCGTTAAGTCCAGACTCTTTTCCATGTTGTTTATGCTCCTCAGTGTTGCCAGTTTGTTGCTTAGATCCAGAATCTGGGATTCCAAACAGACAACTCGCTCACATCTAGCACAATTGTATTCCCCCTCGAACGCATGTTCAAGGAACGCATACATTGCACATGACATGCACCTGGTTGCATACCCACTCATGGAAGACATTATTTTATTCCACACTTACTATTTATTTATTTTTATTTTTAATGTATATTAGGGATTATATAAGATTAATTATTTAACTGTAGCTTTATTATCTAGGGTTTGGTGGATCACGAGTGGCCTGTTCAATAACTTGTTTGTTAAATTAAATAATTTAAATTAGATTAAGATAAATAAATTATACTGAATTATACTACCAACCTCTGTATAATTATACTGCCGCCCTGGGTATACTGGGATATATCTGGCTGTGTCAGTATGGTACTGTGTGTAGTATTGGGTTATGTCTGCTTGTGTCAGTTATGGTACTGTGTGTAGTATTGGGATGTGTCTGGCTGTGTCAGTATGATAATGTGTGTAGTATTGTAATATGTCTGGCTGTGTCAGTATGATAATGTGTGTAGTATTGTAATATGTCTGCCTGTGTCAGTATGGTACTGTGTGTAGTAGTGGGATATGTCTGGCTGTGTCAGTATGGTACTGTGTGTAGTATTGGGATAAGTCTGGCTGTGTCGGCATGGTACTGTGTGTAGTATTGAGATATGTCTGGCTGTGTCAGTATGATACTGTGTGCAGTATTGGGATATGTCTGCCTGTGTCAGTATGATACTGTGTGCAGTATTGGGATATGTCTGCCTGTGTCAGTATGATACTGTGTGCAGTATTGGGATATGTCTGCCTGTGTCAGTATGATACTGTGTGCAGTATTGGGATATGTCTGGATGTGATGGTAGAAGCCAGGGGGCAAGGAATGCACAGTACAGGGGGGAAGGATGGTACAGTACACAGGGGAAGGATGACATAGGACAGTGGGGGCATATGGCATAATACGGGGGGGGGGATGGAACAGGTAGTCTGCCTGTGTCAGTATGATACTGTGTGCAGTATTGGGATATGTCTGGATGTGATGGTAGAAGCCAGGGGGCAAGGAATGCACAGTACAGGGGGGAAGGATGGTACAGTACACAGGGGAAGGATGACATAGGACAGTGGGGGCATATGGCATAATACGGGGGGGGAAATGGCACAGTTTAGCAGGGAGGATGATACAGGACAGGGGGAAGGATAGTATGATACAGGGGAGGGATCGCACAATACACAGGGGAAGGATGGTATAGGACAGGGTGGTACATAGACATGTGCGATTAGTTTCGTTCCGAATCAAAATTCGTACAAATTTTCCGAATTTCGGACACATTTGAATTTCCGAATCCCAATGCACCGAATCCGAATTTCCGTTTCCGAATTTCGCTAAAAAACTAAATTGAATCGGACATGTGACTTTTCTGGCCAATCAGATGTGTTTTTTGGTTTATTGCATCTGAATGGGTCTGAATCCGAATTTTCGAATTGCATTCGGGAGCTCCCAAATGTCATTCGTGTCTGGGAGCCTAATGTTTAGTTTTATGTATATATGGGTCACAATGTTTCTGCTACGAATATTTGGTCATATTATACATAACTATGAGCTTCCGTTACAGTCCACGGGCGGACTGGGCCGAGGAGCAGGATGGCAATTGCCCCCCGGGCCTCTCCGATGCCGCCACGAACTGCCCCTTGACCCCCGCTGCCACCTGCACCTGGCCGCCCACCACATCCGACGCGGCTCTGTGATCGGTGCGGCCGCTGCTCGTCAAGGAGGTGCTCAGGAGGCCCCAGACTTCTAACAGCGTGGGAGACGGGAGGCTACGCTTGTCGGTGGATCCAGGGATCAGGTGAGTATTTTTTTTAAAAATTGGTTTATTTTATGTTCCCGGGGACATAATTTGTCAGGGGATGGTCTCCTCAATCCGGGGACTGTCCCCAGAAATCGGGGATGAATGTAGGGCTGCAACAACTAATCGACTAAGTCGATTATAATCGATGATTGAAAAAGTTGTCAACCTTTTTCAATCATCGATTAATCAGCTTTCGATTACAGTAGTTGGCCCTGTTCACAGCTTCACACATGCCGCGCACCGCACCTCCTCCCCGCCTCACGCTCGCCACTGCCAGACTTGCCCGCCTGCATCCACGCCCCACACGCCGCATCTCCTCCCTGCCTCACCCTTGCTGCTGCCAGACCCCCCCGCATCCACACGTCGCACCTCCTCCCTGCCTCACCCTTGCTGCTGCCAGACCCGCCCGCCCACATCCAACCTCCCTTCCTCACCCTTGCTGCTGCCAGACCCGCCAGCCCGCATCCACAATCCGCACGCCGCACCTCCTCCCCGCCTCACACGCACCGCCCACATCCACGATCGGCACAGGGACGCAGGGAGAAGAAGTAAGGAGGAGCAGGTGTGAGGGGATGACAGCCGCCGACAGACAGGCCCGCTCTGAAGCAAGTTGCTGGAAGACTGCTCAGGTAAGCCTGCTCTTCCCTCCCCCACACATGGTGCTCTATAATGTATTGCTGGGATTTGTATTCCTCTATAGCTGATGGTACATTGTGCTGTATATTATACATAGGAATACAAATCCCAGCAATACATTATACACTGTATGTATAATGTACTATTGCTGAGATTTGTTGTACTCCTCTATAGCTGGTGGTATTCTGCATTGTGCTGTATAGGGGACAAAAACCTCCCTTCCTCACCCTTGCTGCTGCCAGACCCGCCAGCCCGCATCCACAATCCGCACGCCGCACCTCCTCCCCGCCTCACACGCACCGCCCACATCCACGATCGGCACAGGGACGCAGGGAGAAGAAGTAAGGAGGAGCAGGTGTGAGGGGATGACAGCCGCCGACAGACAGGCCCGCTCTGAAGCAAGTTGCTGGAAGACTGCTCAGGTAAGCCTGCTCTTCCCTCCCCCACACATGGTGCTCTATAATGTATTGCTGGGATTTGTATTCCTCTATAGCTGATGGTACATTGTGCTGTATATTATACCATCAGCTATAGAGGACTACAAATCCCAGCAATACATTATACATAGTATGTATAATGTATTGCTGGGATTTGTTGTATCCCTATATAGCTGGTGGTATCCTGCATTGTGCTGTATAGGGGACTACAAATCCCAGCAATAATACATTATACAGCGCAATGCGGAATTCCACCAGCTATAGAGGAGTACAACAAAACCCAGCAATACATTATACAGTGCAATGCAGAATACTGCCAGCTATTCAGAAGATGATTTTATGGAATAATCCTGTAAGTGTTACAGATCTTCTTTCTGATAATAATATAGAGTTTCTACTGAATGAGGAAGTTACTTAAGGTTGGTGTCTTTCCTCTGGCTGTGGAACTACAAGCCCCAGTTTGCCCCTATCAGTATAAAGTGGAATTTACAGACACAGACACCAACCATCATTCATCTCCAGGATCGCCGGGTGGAGCACAATGTCTGTGTATACAGGGTATCTATGCAGATCACTGTGCACTGTGAGGAAGGCGGGTCCTGTCACCATGACAACAGCAAGCACAACATTCCATAACCCATTCATCCCTATACACCTCTGGACACATCCTACAAATTACCTATTTCTACTTCATCTACAATGGGGCTGGAGAGGAGACAGGACTGGCATCTAACTAGTGCTGGCATTGGGCATGATTACAGGGCTCAGGTTCCCTTTCCCCCTCCACATATCAAGGTAATGTACAGATACATGTACAATCATATGGCAGATATATATGTTCATGATACTGATCACGCCGGCCTCTGTGCCTGTGTCTACAATTCTATGCAGGGGAAATGAACAATACACAGGAGATTATCTTAGCAACTGTATACAATGTCTTCTCAGCTGCAAAACCTAAACAGTATTTTTCTTTTGATATTATTTTGAATGTATTTCTTATTCAGATTTCCTGGTTAGCTACCAATTTTATTGTTAATAGAGCACCTAAAATATATCCATAATGTCTATTTAGTTCTAATAAAGTCAGACAGTTCAGTGGTTTAATGTTGTGACTTGTGATGTCATCTACTGTATGGTTCGGCTCTGATTAGAGGGCCACATGTAACCTAGGGTAAGATCTGGCTAAAGCTTCCTTACTTCCTTAAGGGTGAATGTAATACTAACAAACCAGCAAGTAAAACATTT